AAAAAAAAAAAAAAAAAAAAAAAAAAAAAAAAAAAAAAAAAAAACCTTAACGGAATCGCCGATTCACTGTTCGGACTCGCCGATTCCGTACAGTGAATCGGCGATTCACTGTACAGAATCGTCCGGTTCTCTCTAGAACCGGACGATTTCCGATTCTTTGGGCGATCCGGTCCCTTTTCAAGATTTCCGAGTCGAACCGGGCGAGTCCAGTTCTACTCGGCGTTTTTTAGAACGTTGGTTATACCTGATAACATACATATCACAATTTCATGTTAATCTTACTCGCAATCAGCCCAGACCATATGGCCAAAACCCACTCAATCAAAAAATGGTCGAGACACAATCACCTAAACATAAGAAAACACCTTGAATTCAATACGACTCAAGAAATCTGCTATGAGCAATCTCTCAACATAAGAAATCTATGATCAATATATCCATTCTTGGCAAATGTTTGTGCAAATTTTAAGTCAAGTTTATCACAGGACACCAACCAATTATTATCCAATAGGGATTATATCAGAAAGATGATTCAATGTCACCCAAGTGCAGCAATTCTCACATGATCCAGTGGCATTTATTTAAACTATTCAGGTCTAAAGCAAAAGCCTAACATGATTTGTTTGTTAAACCTCAATAGAACAGAATCCATGACAAGCACAGAATAGAATAAAAAATCTGAATGGGACTGTGTAAAAATATTTACATATAAGGTTCTACAAACTTTCTCACCTGAGAACTACTCGCAATATGGTGAGTGCGACTGCCTGCCAGATAATAAAAAGAGATGCACTAAGAAAATTCACAAATAGTAAAGAGTTCAAAATTTCCAAGTAAAGACAATTGGATTAGATATATTGTCATTGCGCTCTTGAGGCATCAAATCGAACTCATATTTAAAAACATCTTGACAATGTTCAATGAATAAACAATGTCCCAAAAAAAATATCTATGAAAAAGAAAAATTCAATTCAAAAAAAGAAAAAGAAGAATTAGAAAGGAAAAGAAAAGAAGACGGCAGAGGCAAATAGTCGATCAATTACAAGGCATAAGCTCAAAGAAGACAGCAGAGGCAAACATGTGGTATCTTTTTTTATAAGAGATGGAACTTTTGCCTTAAAATTTAACTTCTCAATCTCAACCACCATGATCATAATTATAACAGGAAAAATATGCATTTTAACCTTATCAGCAGACCATTTTAAACTGTTTTTTTTAGTCATTCATCACAGTTGATTTTTCTTAGCAAAGTATATGAAAACACCATTTCTTGCTGCAGTATCGTAGATCTCAAGGAAATTCATCAAGGGTAACTTTAATGTATCTTAGATTGTCTCTAGGATGGATTTTTGGAAGGAAAAAGTTTATATAATGTTGCAACCTTAAAATGTAGAAATACAGATGCACCTAAAAAATCCATTGGAAAAGAAAAATAAACATCATACTTGATGCTTGAGGATTTGGTTTTCCCTGTATTGTTTTGGGCATTTAAGAGACGGGCGAGAGCAAGGTAGAGAGCAAGGTTTGGGATGAGTTTTTACCCCAAAAAACAATAGGGATTCAGAGAGAGAAAGAGTGGAGAGATAGTAAGGTTCTATCCAAAAAAAACATATAGATTTAGAGAGAGAAAGAGTGGAAAGATGGTGAACGACGGATGAGGTTTTACTCCAATAGCCGCAGGGATTTAGAGAGAGAAAGATTGGAGAGACGAGGTTTTACCTCAAAAGGCCACAGGGTTTAGAGGGAGAAAGATTGGAGAGATGAGGTTTTATCTCAAAAAGCTACAGGGATTTAGAGCGAGAAAGATCGGAGAGATGGTGTGTGAGAGATTAGGGTTTCACTTGAAAAATACTGGGATTTGGAGAGAGAGAGTGGAGAGAACGGGCGCGTGTGGCAGCGCATCGAGCAGGAAAACAGCGACCATGGCCAAAGATGCAACATGAGTGGGATGAAGAAGTTTTACCCAAATACACAGGAGAGAGAGAGAGAACAAAACAATATGGGAGGAGAGAGAGGGGAAACGTAGGAGTGAGTTCGACGTCGGACCGATGAGTTAGACGGCTGTCTAATTTTTTCAATCAAACGATTTAAAAAATCGTATTTCGAACGTGAAAGGGTGTCGGTGCGCGCTGTCCTGTTTTGTCAATCACTTTTTTTAAAAAAAATCTTTTTGAAAAAAAAAACAGAAGCCTTTGCAAACGCTGTATCGTGATAATAAAAAAACAAGCTCATCATCATGACCGTTGGGCGCAACTGAAGGGGGGCGCGAGCGGGCTAATCTAGTCTTTTTCCATATATATTAGATAATTAGCTATTTGATTTACTTTGTCAAGGAAAGGTGAGGTGTTTAAATCATTGTTCCTTTCTCCCTAAAGTCAACTAACTATTTGAGTGGGAAAACTTCAACAGCAATGAAAAACGTCCTCACTGATCTTCATGCCCATGCCCATTGTTGTGTCCGGGATCACGTCCACGACCACGTCCACCTCCACTTCCATTAACGGATCGGATCCGTGCAATCAAATTATCATTATCAATAAATAAAAAATTTCAATAATTTAGAAATTAAGATCATCGTCATCAAGCGAATCTTGTACCAACTATTCGGGGGTGAAGTAAAAAATTTTATAGGAAAGGTGGCAAAGTTTTATGCTTGCATCGAAATGCAATATAAGGTGGGTGAAGGGACTGTTAAAAAGAGCTGAAGCTCAACGAAAATGAACATCAAAAGATTCTACCCAATTCTCTCTCTCTCTCCCTCTCCCTCTCCCTCGAGGGCATGTCTCAGTTAAAGAATTCAATTTTAGAAGGAACTTAACCTTC